AGGATATGGGTAGGTACCAAGGTCAGTCCAAGCGGCCCTTTCGTGGGGGGTCTTCCGCAGAGGGAAATGACTCCAATCTGAGTCAGCCCATAGGCGGCTGCCTAGCATCCTTCGCAGATCAGTGGGACCAGATAACGTCGGATGCCTGGGTCAAGTCCACTATCAAGGATGGCCTCTGGTTAGAATTTCTCTCCCTTCCCCCCCAAAGCTCTTCAGGACCTTTCCCCTGTCTCAGGACCTGGAACGGCGCTGCCTAATGGGTCTGGCCATCCAACATCTGCTAGACATTCTGGCGGTGGAACCGGTCCTAACGGAAGAGTATGGGTTGTGTCTATACTCCAACCTATTCGTGGTCCCAAAGACCTCAGGGGGATGGAGGGCAATCTTGGACCTGAAGCACCTCAACTCTTACCTGGTTTACTGGCACTTCAAAATGTAATCTCTTAGGCCCATTCTCCTGGGGATCCGGCGGGGCGCCTTCATGGTAGACTTGACGGAAGCGTATATGCACATTCCGATCCTACCAGCCCATTGCAGATTCCTTTGCTTTTCCCACAAGGGGCACCACTTCCAGTACAGGGCTCTCCCATTCGGTCTAGCCTCTGCCCCATGCATGCTTACAAAGGTCCTGGTGGCATTGGCAGCTCACCTGCAATCCCACCCGGTGAGACTCCAATGTTACCTAGACGACGTGCTCATTCAGGCCCAATCATGCACTCAGGCAATTCACGACCTGAATCTGACAATCCAAACGTTGCAGTCCCTGGGGTTTTCTGTCAACTTGCCCAAGAGCCATCTGTCACCCAGGATGAGAATCCTTTATCTAGGTACAGTAATAGACTCTGTAGAAGGACTTGTTCGACTTTCTTCAGAACGTCTCACAAATCTTCAAACTTTAGCACATCACATCTGCGCAAGTTAGTGAGTTTCCAACCTGATCCTGACCCACCTGCTGGGCAAGATGGTGTCATGCATAAGGATAGTGCCCTGGGCCCGACTTCATTCACGGACACTCCAATGGACACTCATCACCTATCAACACCAGTGCATGAGCAACTTGCTGCGGACAGTCACTCTATCACCGGGCCTCTGCTGGTCTCTACGGTGGTGGTCATCTCTGGCCCTACATTGTGGATCCAACATTTGGGAGCCGGATCATACCACGATCACGACAGATGCGAGCCTCTACGGCTGGGGGGGGGGGCTAATGGACTCCAAATTGGCGCAGGGCCATTGGATGATCTCAGACGTGCTCCACAATATAAATTGGCTGGAGCTGAAGGCAGCTCGTCTGGCCCTCCTTCATTTTCAGGACTTGATTGCCAATCACCATATGCTCCTCTTGATGGACAATGTCATGGTACGATCCGGCTCCCAAATTATATTAATTATAAAGTTGAAGAATGCTCACCGCAGTTGGTACCTTATTTGAGTTTGATCAGGAATGTTTGAGGACTAGATTTTTAGTACAGTTTTTAGTCGAACTGTTGGATGGCATATCATCCAATCAACATTTAATGGTGATCAGAATGCCATGGGATAATTGAACAAGTATTTGCTGAAATCAACATATTTCGTGATTATATCATTCCTACAAACTGCTAAGTAAATTGCTGTTTAAAATACGTTAAGACAAACATAATTTGATAATACCTGTTCTTGAACAATTATGGCATTATTGTTAGTTGAATAATTTTTATATCAGTGTCAGAGTGCCAGGTTTGTACTTCTCTTGTTCCTCTTTTGACCTTATTTGAAGATAGGGATATTTGCTCCCAGGGATTCTCAGAAATAAAATATAAACATTTGGTTACTTTGCACTTCTGGAATGCAGTTCATTTGATCCAGAAGTTCTAAATCCATTCAAAGTAAATAAACATAACAGTCTTGGACTTGTATCCTGCTGCTTTATTCTGGTTTCATAACTGCGAGGTGAAATATTTAGTCGTCATCTCAGAAAAATCTGAGCTAAAATAAGGGTAGTACTGGGTTTTCTTTGTACCCAATCAGTTGATATAGTTATTTTGAGCATATCCAAAATCTTGTTTGTTTTTTCTTAGCATCCATTATCAAACTCAACTCATTGTAAGGATTAGCTATATATATAATATTTGTTGATTTAGCCCTCTTTCCACCTCCTATATCTGTCCTTCTTTCTTTTTCACTTATTTACCTTATTTTTCTATTGAGTACAAAAAGCTGTGTGCTGAATTTATATAGGCAAGCTAACATTAAATGAAAACTTAAATTATATGGACACGCTGATCTGTAAATTTAGATTTGTATGCCTCAAGAAGTAACTTTTTGTTTAGTTTATATAGTTGCACAAAGAAAACATGAAATAGGGAGTAATGATTGTTTGCCAGCTAATATAACCTAACTTAAATTATACGTTTCTGGCTTAATCATATATACCCTATATCAGCGATGGCGAACCTTTTTTGGCTCATGTGCCATAAGAGGGGGAGTGCAGGGTGTCATGCACAAGCGTGCCACACCCATAATGCAACACGTGACCCTCCCAGTGCGCATGAGAGGCACCCCTCCCATTTTTTGCATGCTTTTTTTGCCCTCCCCAGGCTCCAGAGACTTTATAGGAGCCTGGGGAGAGTGAAAACAGCCTCCCCTGCACCCCCGGAGGCCCTCCGGAGGGTTCAGGGACCTTCAGGACCTTCCCTGGAGGGCAAAAAACAACTCTACGGGCTCGTAGGGCCCTTTTTAGTCCTTTGGTGGCTTCAGGGAAGCCTCCTGAAGGTCCCTGAAGCCTTTGGAGGGTTTAAACCGACCCTATGAGCAAACAGGAAGTCACTTCCGGTTTGCTCGTAGGGTCCTTTTTAGTCCTCTGGAGACTTCAGGGAAGCCTCCTGAAAGTCCCTGAAGCCTCCGGAGGGCTTAAACCGACCCTAAGAGCAAACCGGAAGTCCATTCCTGAACTTCCGGTTTGCCTTTAGGGCCAGTTTTTTTTCGGTGGGGGAAGGCTCTTTTTGTCCTCCCCAGGCTCCTATAAAGCCTCTGGAGCCTGGGGAGGGCGGAAAATGGCTTTTAAAAAGGCTGAACTGAAAAGGCCTTGTGTGCCCTGACAAATGGCTCTGTGTGCCACCTATGGCACCCTTGCCATAGGTTTGCCATCCCGGCCCTATATGCAAGACTTGTTAGAATTTTTTTTGATGAAATATAATTTTGATGTAAAACTACTGCAGTAGGGATGCATGCTAGTATGTCAACTAATTGGCAGTATTTAACAAAATTTGGGGCATTGGTATTTTGCCATAATTGAAGAGAATACATCTGTGCCGTGAGACTTAGTAGTATTGTTAAATGCAAAGGATAATACTCATGTTATGGCAGCCCATTTTCTTTCATATGACAGTCATGCTTCTGGTGCATTAGTGGGCAAAAACCCACATTCAATATGGAAATTATAGTTATATAACAATGACAATTTAGATTTGAATGATATTTACTTTTAAGTTTTTCTTAATTAGGATTGTTCCTAAATAATAATGTGTGGAATATTGTTTTTTATATTTGTCATTAAATGTTACTTTTTTAATTGTTTGGGGAACTAAAGATCACTTTGGGAATTTGAAACAAGTGTTCTGTCTATTTGGGAAACCATACAGCCAATCTAATCACTATGACTTTTGAAATAATGTTTTCAAAACTGTATACATAATAAGGTAAAAAGGGCACCACGTCGCTGTAGTTTCATGTATATAAGCCTCATAAGGGGAATTTCTTTTATATTTGTGCAGTTATATCTCATTTTTTGATTGATTTATTATAGAAGGTCATGTCCAGAGGTGGGTTTCTACCAGTTCGCACTGGTTCAGTAGAACCGGTAGTGGAAATGGCGACTGAGTCACCAAACAGGTAGGGACAGCATGCTCACCACGCCCCCAGTTCTCTGGTCGTCAGAACATCTTTTTTTGACCTTTTTAAATGTTATGCATATGCACAGACCTATTTAGAAGCAACTGCGCACGTGCATTAGTGAAGAGAGAACGCACATGCAAAATCATGTGTGCACCGAACCAGCAGTAATGCTGACAGAAACCCACCCTGGTCATGTTCCTAAGAAGGGAAATTGGCTTCATAATATACATTGAAATAATTTACACACGGACATAGATAAATAGCTTATCATATGTAGAATGATTTTACTCTTTGTGATAAATGAGGCTTTGTCCACGTTTCCATCCAAAGTTTGGTATATCTTGACAAATCTTGGAGAAAACATGGAATATTTCACAGTTGCATTGAACATTGGAGGTACTTGACATAGTCTTCTCCTTTAAACTCATGAAAGGGGCTTTTTGGATTGAATCTGCTTTTGAGATACTTGGAAAACCCACAAGGATCAAAAATATCTCCCCTTTCATTCTTCTGCTTAGAGATCTAAAGGCTTGCTGTGTATTTTGCTTCTAGAGTCTTGAGTGTCTTTCCAATTTGAAGTATTACCAAGAAAAAAATCCTTCCTCTTGCTTGAAGGCCATGGGTCCTTTTACTCACATTTTTCAGATCTAGGAATGCTTTCTAAAGCTACCTTGTCAGAAGCCTATTTCTGGTTTCAAAAAGAAATTTGCTTATGAATGTCTTATAGATCTTGTATGCATAACATTTTAGAAATTGAAGGTGTATGTGTGTGTGTGTGTGTGTGTGTGTGTGTGTGTGTAGTACTATTAAAACAGGGATATTCATTTAGCAATGCAGGGAGAAGAATACTAAATAATATCTTACAAATTATTCTGAAATATAGAAAAGGCAGTCATTCACTATTTTAAACATGCTAACTAAATTACATTACTTGTATTTAAATTACATTACATGTATTTGGGCAAACAAATCCTAAATTACAATATTCTGTACTCTTGAGGATCAGTCACTGCTCAACCATTGAAGTATGAACTTGTAATATTAATCCCTCTTACTATGTTTTGGTTAATTGTCATATTTTCATCTACATGTGTGTTGTCTTCCTTTTTAATTGCCTTTTGAAGTTTAAACTATGGAGGAGGACATTCATCACACTCTGAAGCGGATCTTCTTAGACAAACATATGCAGCTTCTCAGCAGCTTCCTGTGTACACTACCACACCCCATCCTTCTGGTAATAATAATTTATGAAATAGATGCCTTTCTTTTAAAATAGTTGAGAGCTGACAAATGATAGAATACATTTCAGGACAATTGTTCAAGATATATGTTGATATACCTGTTATACCTGCTAAAAAGTTTGGGAGGGATAAATTTCTCTGACGGCACTTTGTTTCCTGGAGCTCTAAGCATAGGGATTTATAGAAGAGTGGAAATGGTGAAAATTGCCTATTCCTTCCTTCATCCTTCAGTTAATAGTGTGCTAAATACAACATAAATGAAGGTTTCTGTAGATACTTCGTAGTATTATTTTATATTTCCTCTCTTTATTACTTTCAGTAACTTGTATTGTTAATTAAGTAAATTGTCAGAACATTGTAAGAGAGCTTTTTGGCCATTACCAAAACTCAACTACAATGTTTGTGATTGAATGTTTTGATTCGATGTTTAATTGCTGAAGTATATCTAGTATAAAGCTCATATGTGGTGTACTTTTTCTTATAGGTCTTCCTGGAATTTTTGATAATTCTACGCACAGTAGCAATAGCAACACTAAAGAAGCATCGGTTATGAATTTTCTCTCTGCAATCGAATCTCGCAATACTCAGACTGTTTCTTCGGGAACAACTCTTTTACCACAATTTAGGGCGCCTACGTGGCAACCAGGTGACATTTTCCTAATATTTTGGTAATCATATCAATACATCTTTGTGTAAAAATTATATAACACTGGCTTAAATCTAGAGCCATTCATCTCTAAATAGGAAGCTTCTACTGTGCAGGGAAGACTTCTACTTCACTGGATTGGGGATCATTGTGTATTTCTATCTTTAGCCTTATTATCTACATAGAAATATGATCTATGTAGCTTGGAGGATTATTCTAGAGAGAAGACAGCTAAGAAAATGTTTGATTGTGATAGTGGAAACAGATGAAGAAATTGCAAAACTGTCAATGCATTCTACTGCAGGAATATATTTAGCATAGTTCTACTTGTGAATACAAAATGTGAAGCAAAAAAGATAGTTTTCAATGGGATGGGAAAGATTCCCATATCTTATAAAGTAACCTTTAATAGCTGAAACTGTCAAGATAGAAATCAGTGCAACTAAGGCTGGTGTGAATAATAATGTCAACAATGATCAGATGCCTTCCTAGCTCCAGGTTGGGAAAAGAATGATGCATTGAAGAAAAGTCTTAGGTATTAAACATTGGAACAAACAAACATGCAGGACTTGATTTCTATGTTCTGTAGTAAGAAGGTTTTATTTATTATTTATTTGTCAGATTTATGTGGCTCACTCTCTCGAACTATTTTGGACAGTATAATAAAACTAGCAGTTAAAACAATGAACCTAAATAAAAGTAAGATCATAAGAAGGAAGCTATTATATATAATACAGATAATTCTCAGGCTTCCTATTACTAGGGGATACTGATGAAACCAAGTGTTAAGGGTTTTCCAGGAGATCACAAGAGTTTGGGAGGGATGATGTTCCAGGGGGTGAGTGCCATGGCATCCATCAGCTGGAACTTCCTCATAAATGGGGCCTGCAATATGCAATTCCTGCCAGACCTTATGAGACATGTAGATGTATTTGGGGAAAGGCAGTTCCTCAGATAACCTGTTACTGTAGGGCTTTAAAGGTCAAATCCAACACCTTGACGTTGACGAACCAGACTGGGAACTAGTGCAATTCAAGGACCAGAGGTATAATGTGAGTCCTTCCAGGAGTATATAACTGCCTATGTCACATCATTTTGCATCAGCTCAGCTTCCAGATACTCATCAAGGGCAGCCCCATGTAGGACAAGTTACAGTATTCAATTTGGGGGGTGACCACGTCATGAGTATATATGATTTTTTTTATGTTTGCAGTGAAGCAACTTACCAAGTTTCTGAAAGTATTGTTATTACCCTGTTTCTGAAGGTGAGGTTAGAATTTATGAAGTCAGTTGAGTTTCTGGACTGTAGAAATTTTTAATCATGGTTGTCTAATACATCCCTCTGCATTCGTAAGTTAAATATAAAAAGAGGACAAAATGCTTCATCCTCTCTCCACCAGTCTTCTTAGCATGGGATAAGATAATTGTCTGTTTTGGTATTGCCTGCTAAATCTCATGTAAATTCAAAATCTAGAGAGAACTTAGCACCAAGTCTTTGAGTGGATTTCAAATACTGAGATTGAATATGTTTTGTGATTAAATTCAAGTCTAAAATAAATGATTAGTGCCACTTTTATATTTCCTTTTCATTAATGACTGATTACATCTCATTTTGTGTGTGTTTTTTAAAGCAGGCATGCATCCATCATCTGAGCTTTTTGTTACTGGAGCCCTGCCAACATCTGGAACCTTTCCATCAACCTCAGTTTATCAACATCCCAATGCTTTTAGCAGTAGAAACTTTGTTACTACTCCTTCTTTAACACTTCAGGATACAACTTTTAGTCCAACCTCAAATGGGCTTCTAACTGCTCATGACCCCTTATTGCAGATCAAGACACCCCAAGGCACAGTTCCCCCTGCACTGACTTTTGACCGTCTGGGCAGTTACGTTTTAAGTACCAGCATACCACCACAATCTTCAACATACCGTTCTGCTCAAGAGTCTGCACCACATCTCCTACAGCCACAGTTCAGTCTATTGCCTTCGTCACTTGGTGGAGGACCTCAGCAGACTCCACAGGTGTATAACTCAACTCTGTTTACTGGTTCTACTGCCTCCATTGAAAGAGCACTGCAGCGCGAATGTAGTGTAATTAAACACCATCAGCGGCCTTCAAACACACAGTCTGTTCAGGCACAACTGACTAGTTCACAGCATTCCCTACAGAACTATTTACCAAGTACAGATGAATCTGATTTTCAGGATGCACCCCGCCCATCAACTTGTAGCCCAGCTGGCGATGCTACTCAGGTGAGCAGTAGTGGCCCACAGCAGAAAACCTCTCAGGTTTCAGTGGAACTTTCACAGTCGTATGCATCAGCAGTTCCATCACCAGGTTTCCAATCTGTTTCCACTACAAAGGCAAAACAGTGTTCTACAAAGCAACCAACAAGGTCAACAAAGACACCTAAACCACAAAGTGCAGCCCCTTCTGTACAGACACAAAGCTATTCCAAAATTGCACACAACCAGAACTCTGTAATATCTGGTCAAGCACAAATCTATTCTACAGCACAGCTCCCAAGTCTCCTCTCAGTAAGTCAGTCACAAAATTATATTTCAACACAGTCACAGAATGTGCCACCTGTTAGTCATGCGCAAGTATTCTCAACCATCAAGACTGAAAAATTGCCATCACTATACAAAACACTTTCTTTTGCTGGGCAATCAGAAGTTACTACGTCCGAAAGCCAGGCATTACCATACACTTCTGATCAACAGGTATTAACCTCAGTTTCAAATACCTTCTCTGGGCAAACAAGGGATCTTTCTTCTAGCAGCCAGTCTGAAAATTATTCTTCTAGTCATTCTCAGGGTATGTCAACAATTAGCCAGCCACAGATTAGCTATTCATCTCAGTCACAGGTCTTGTCAGTTGTTAGTCCTTCGGAAACATTTTCTTCTCATATTCAAAACTTATCAACTACAAGTCCTCCTCAGAATTATATTTCATTGCATTCTCAGGTACAAGAATCGTCCTCTTCACAATCTCAAAATTTTTTGCCAGTTGTACAGTCAACTCCTTTTGAAGTAAGACCTAATTCACCAGCATTGCAGAACAATAGATCTTCCTCAGATACAAAGTCATACATTAAAAGGAAATCTGATCCTAATTTGTATCAAACATCTAAACAAGATGATCAGTTTCCAATGCATAATTTTCAGGCACTGCAACAGCAAGCATCTCTTGATTCCTCTCCTCAGAGACTTACTGACGGTGAGATTAATGCTCAGGATACAACTTATAAAGTTTCCAAAGCAGATAATCGCTACTCTCAAAGTGTAATCAGAAGTAACTCTCGTCTTGAAGATCAAATTGTTGGGCTTACTTTTCAAGGGTCAAAAAAAGAGGAAATCATGGTTAATTCTGTAACACAAATCAGCCATATTACCAATACAGGGAATCATGATATTAAAAAAGCAGGTAGTTTACTGTCAACAGCACAAGTAAATGCAGACAGTAAAGAACTTAACCAGCAAGAGTCTCTTATGCACAAGGTACATGAAGTTAAAGTCTCAGAGCAACAGATTCATGCTGTTAGTTCACCATCTCAGCTTCATACTCAGCCCATACGACAAAGCCATCAGCTAAGCCTGCCTACTTCACAGGTACTTCTAGAATCCCCCTGTGATTTACAAATGCTTCAGCAGTCAATATTGCAATCTGGTTTAGGATACACAAAAAGTGTTCCACAAGTGCAGCACATTATGAATTCTCAGCAGTATCTACAAGTGGATGGTCATATGATTCAAGGTAATGGAAGGCATTCTCAGGAGCAGCTTCATTCACAACACACTGAAGTTTTGAAAGTTAACCTTTCTGAACCATCAAAGCCATTACAGCATCATATGACACCCAAAGATCATTTTGGACAGCCAAATCATGAATCTAAGAATCAATTTGTTCCCCTTAGTTCTGTATGTTTTCCAGAATCTGTACTACTCAATGATGAAAGGAATATATTGTCTAATGTAGATGATATCTTAGCAGCCACAGCTGCAGCTTGTGGAGTAACACCATCTGAATTTGCAAAATCAACTGCCAATGAGGAAGAAATTCAATCAGTTGAAAATGGAGATATTCCTAAATCTCAATTTCATACAATAGATGTCAGACACCTGACTCCTAGCTTCAACTCATCCCCTGCACTTCCTGGAAAGCCACTTAATAATATTTCTTTAAATGGAGGCCATGTTACCCTAAATTTAACAGCAGTGCCTGCAGATCAGACAAAAGATAGGAACCTTGACCAACAACACATTGAGATTTCTGCCCAAGGTGTTCCCACTAGAATTACAACAGTTGAAATTGAAAGAAGGCAGGAACAGGTTTCTAATCAAGTTAAGCAACAGTCCAGCACCAGGAGTGAATCTGAAGCTAAAAACAATGTTCATATGGATGGACCATTAAACATTAAAGATATAGACCTTATTTCAAGTAGGACTCTAAATGAAGAGATTACAGTGTCAAAAACAGATTATAGCATGGCAAGTGACAATGCTGATGTTCCACTGCAACAAATACCTATGCAGCATCCAAGAAATGAAAATGGTAATAATACTGAAGACAAGAGCCAACTTTTTTCAGAAGAGGACCCTCAAAAGCAAAAGGACAGAGGACAGAATCAAATTAAAAATGTCAATGAAGTTGATACAAATCAGAAGCTATTGAAACGAAGTGGGCAGTGCAAACGTCAGAATTCAAGAGGCATTGATGCCAACTCTCCTGTTCCTGAAAACTGTCATGAAACTTACCAACATCAAGAAAAAATGAGGCAGAAAATTAAAGAGGTGGAAGAAAAGCAGCCAGAAGTGAGAACAGGATTTATTGCATCTTTTTTAGATTTCTTAAAATCTGGACCCAGACAGCAGTTTTCAGCACCTGCTATCCGTGTTCCTAATCGTGTAAGAAGACCTGTCACCCCACTTATTAGAGTACCAACAGCGACTTCATCTTTTGATAGCTTTGCTGAAAATTCAGTTAAGAACAATTATGAAGATCCTAAGATAAAGTCAGAAGCCCTGCCTTATTTTTCTTTTGATAACGATAATGTGAGGAACAACAAAGATTACCAAAAGAGCATATATTCTCCTTTATCATCATCTGATACAAAGATAAAGTCAGGTAAAGTTTACTATGCTTGTGATGAGATATATGGTTTTAATTTAAATGTAGCTTTAAATAAAGATATACTTAAACCAGTCCAATAATCAATAAATCTCTCTCTTTTTCTTTGAGTTTCATACATGTTTTGAAAGTAATTTAGTTTTTAAGATTAAGAGTGCTTTTAAATATTGTTTAATGAAATAGTTAATAATTATGTTATATCGAATTTGCATTAAAAATATTTTTATAAACTGTCAAAATTGTCTCAATAACTTGCCCAAATTAGGATTTTTTTAAAAAAAACCTCTACAAATAATTTTAGATTTCCCTGTAGTATATATAATATATGCTTTTAGAAATGTATATGGGGTTTGTTTGCTTTTTTCATTTAAATACCTTCAACATACAATTTCTCCATGACAAGATCATATATGTGGATACATTGCTTTTATTTGAAAGGTGAGGTTAATTTTAAAACTTTTTTTTTCTTGTGCCCCCACTGGTTTTTTTTTAATTGAAAGCAGATCTATGAAATATATATAGGATTCCTAGAATCTGATAAATCTGCCAAAATTATTTATTAAATTTTTACGCCACCTATCTCCCCTATAAGATGACTCTGGGGCCTAATGTTAATCAGAACAGCTAATACCTTGCACTTGGTGGTAATTTGTAGACTAAATTATTTGTGCTATAAATATGAAAATGAATTCTAATTCTTGAAGTGCTTATTTTGTGCTTTAGAAATTGACAAAACATATTCTCAAGCCATCACTAATACTGTCGTAAAGAAGGAAGCTTCCCAAATGACTGTTACGGTGACAGATCCTCAGGTGAAAACCTGTGCAGCACAATTTAAAACGGAGAGTGTTCTTACAGAGCCATTAGCAAAACCTCAAGTATTGGTTGCAATAGAAGGATATACTGAAGATGACCATGGAGACAGTGACGGCGAAGGCATATACAGAGAACGTGATGAATTTGTAGTGAAGATTGAAGATATAGAACCACTAATGGTAAACCATCTTTTTAATTGGAATAATCTGCCTTTTATTTTTTTAATCTTATTTATTGTTAAATGTCAGACATGTGCAGGTCTATCCTTGTATTAATCCAGGAGCAAGACAGCCAATAGTTATTTGTAGCAAATAGTGGTTTTTATCTACAATAGGAATACTATACATACACATGCTACAAGCAGTATCTAAACAAACAACAGTTACAACAGAAAGAAACTCCACGAACACGACAAACAGCAGGCCTCCTCTTATTACACAGGTTCTTAAAGGGATAACAGCCAAAGATCCTGCTCACTCATTCCCCTCATTGCATCAGCTGGTCAGCTCTTAAATTATTACCTTGACATTAAAGTACCATAAAATTTTGCCATCAGAATTATGCTAATTATTTTCATGATTTGTGGAATAATGAACTGGGGTGTCATGTTCTTGCAAATCAGTGGCAGATAGGTTTAAAATTAAAGCTAACTTTTTTCTCTTAAACAAAAATTATAACACTTCAAGGAATATTTAAGTTTGGTTCCAGTTGCCTTGCTATGCAATTCAACTGTTGGAACATTAAGTTAGATAGTTTGAGCTAGTGCTACAAAGATGAATTTAGTCTGAAGTTCACAGAATTGTCAATTATAGATTTAATATAATTACTCCTTGGCAAAGATATGTATCCTCTTTCTGGATATCCCAAATCCTTGAAATTGAGATGTCAACAGTCATGGTATTGCATTAATAGAGTACCTAAAAGATTTATTATGCATCAGAGGAATAAATCCACACCTCTTCTGCAGCAGTAGATTGCCAGCAACTGTTTTTAGTCAATGTTTGAATTAGTTCTTTGGGTTGAATTGCTTTGTATTGCTACTGCATTCCCAATGTATAGGAAAAAATCTTGGAAGAACAAAAAGAACTTTAGAATGCAAAACAGTAGGTAGCAGAAAATATAGGTGTGTGTGACAAAGGGGAAAAAAAGCAGAGTTAAATATAAATTAATATGCAAAAGAACAAGGAGGATTGGGACTGCCTGATTTAAAATTATATTTTATATTTGCCACTTAATCTGAATGAAAGTATAGGTTTTGCTGAGAAATAAGAGCATTTTAGAATCAGAAGGGCATAATTTGAGGTTTGGATTGTATGTTTTTTTAATGACATAATAAAGTTAAAAGTTAACGTAGAATTTAAGAATTATTAATACCCTATTGAGAATATGGAACAAACATAAACCCAGACTGTCCTCAAAAAAGCCTTTAACATTCTCAGGACAAGAGCATTTTGCAGGAAACAAACAGTAGGTAAAGAAAAATGTTGAACTTATTGAGAGTTGTTACAACAGAAACATGGAGGATATAGGATGAAATCAAAACAGCAATTAAGTGCAGTCAATAGTTTCCATATGCAAAATTAAGAGAAAGATTTAAGTGATCAACAGAGCATTTGAAATTGAGCAACAGAAGATAGAATTTCAAGTTGAACTATATATATAATGAACAAGTAATAGCTAAAATGTATACACTTTATTGAAATTTGAAATGGAAAAAGTTCAAGTGGAAAACTATGTACTATGAACATTGGACACCCTATATTGATGGGTTAGTGGGATAATATGCTCTAATTTAAAACAGATTTTTTTATAAAATGATGAACCATTGATATTTGCCTCCAGAAAAAAATTGTCTAGAATGTATACAAGTACTTAAAATGCTAACAGAATTAAGTGCTTTTCATTTTGTAGGCTGCTTTTAAAAGAGGAGTGGAGCCTCCAGCCATCTGGAAAGTTCAAAAGGCTTTGCTGCAAAAATTTGTACCTGAAGTACGAGATGGACAAAGAGAATTTGCAGCGACTAATAGTGTAAGTACAATCATTCAGCTTTAACCATATTAACTGGTGAGATGGTTATACTGTATGTGATACCAGTATAATGGTTAAAGTGCTGGCCTGGAAACCAAGAGACAGTGAATTCTAGTCTTGCCTTATTAGTAGGCTGGCCTACCTTGGAGCAATCTGTGTATGTGTGTCTTTTTCTTTCTCTCTTCTCTCCCTCTTCCCCTCTCCATCACCCACCCTCTCTCAGCCCAACCAACTTCAAGGATTGTTGTTGTTCAAAAAATAGGAGAAAGGTGTATTACATATGTGCACCACCTTGAGTTACTTATAAAGTAATAAATACAGGATTTTAAAAAAGAACATCCAACCAACCAACCAACCAACCAACCAACCAACCAACCAACCAACCAACCAACCAAATAAATAAATAAATAAATAAATAAATAAATAAATAAATAAATAACGGAACTATGAAACCATGAGTTGCAGTCCTGATTTAGACATAAAGCCAATTGAGTGACCTTTGGCCAGTCACTCTCTAAACTCCTAGGAAGGAACAATGGCAAACCACTTCTGGGAAAAGGGGGGGGGGGGACCTTGCCAGGAAAACTGCAGGGACTTGTTCTATAGAGTCTGACAATCAGACATGATTGAACAAAAAAAAAGTGTATTATGGGATAATTTTTAATGCCTGGTTTTTTTATGGTCTGCCCAGAGCTTGAGATAGTTAGCTATATAAATGGAACAAATTAATGAATTAAACTGTTTTCATTACAATTGAGTAGGATTTATTTTGTTTTGAAGTAACAACAAAACACCTGGGGAAGTTAGCACTAAGAAGTACTTTTTAACATGATAAAAGCAAGAACTCTTAACTACACTGGGCTATAATCATTGGCTAATGAAGAACTTCAGATGGTGCTTTATGCCCTCTTTTACACCCCAAACTTTAAAAATCAAATGACTGAATTGCTTCATTTTCCCTCCAGTTGTTCCATTAGCCATAAGAGGCTTGTTTGTGCAGGAGTTACACAAGTGCAAAAGTCTTTTCTGGTGCTTCCAACAGAAGCATTTTCTGGCTAAAGAAACTCTCAGCAAAGTGTTTAAGAAGTCACAAAATATCTCTCATAGACATTATCTCACCAATGAACATGCAAGCTACTTGGAACACAGCTAATCATTAGTAAGATTTAAATTAATTCGGGGTTATATTCCAGATCCTCCACTTTTTCTGTTTTCTTAATTTCTTACAAGATTATAAACAAGGCAAGCATAATACATGTCTCTTTTTCCTTTTAGTATCTTGGATATTTTGGAGATGCAAAATTGAAGTATAAACGAGTATATGTGAAGTTCATAGAAAATGCAAACAGAAAAGAGTATGTCAGAGTATGCTCCAAGAAGCCAAAAAATTCACCTGTACAGTCTGCAAGGTATTTTATTTTTATCCATTTTCTCATATCCTTGATGTGTCTTTTAATTATATTTAATGGGGAGGGGGATATTACTAGCTTTAAATTTGTTAAAGGCACATGATCCATAGATATTATTTTGAACATTTACTATCTAAAATAATTGTTGGTATTTTATGCTCTAGAATAGTTTCAGAACCTTTAATTAGGTTATGAAGAGCTGTTAAAAAGCTATAAACCTGAGGGGCTGGAAATTTTTGTTTCCAGTTTTCACTCAACCAGTTTCATACTGTAAGTAGTTTCAGGAATCAAAGTTTAATCAAATGCGAAAGTAAAAGTTTTTACTCAATTTGCTCACAAAGAAAGTAAACATAACAATCCTCAAACGTAACTCATGGCTTAAACATTTTTTACAACCTCAAGAGATGTTGAAACTAAATTCCCAGAAGCCATTGACTATACTTTTTAAAAACTTTCTGAGAACTATAGTCCCAACATAGGTAAGAACAGCATCAGGTTTGTGAATGATACTTTTTAAGAGGATCATCATTTTGATCAAATCAATTCTATTCTGTCCTTGAATCAATATCATTTTCAGATGTATATTTTTCTAGACAATAATCTACAAACCAATATTTTTAGGGATTTCTTTCTGTTCTCGTTTAAATAATTCTGTTTACTCTAAGCTAAAGACTTTCCTTGTTAAGAGTGCATTTTAATCTATTTATGTTTAGAGATACTCTTTAGTTAATATAGGCATGAAGATTTAAGGCTTGCACCCTAACATTGTCTGGAGCAGGAGTAGGTTTCAGCAGGTGTTACTGCGCGCACATGTATAGCTCAAGGGAAATTATTCTGCGCATGCGCAGAACTAGGAAAAAAGATGATGGCGACAGCGGTGGCCGGGGTGTGTGGCCAGCCTGGGTCGCTGCCGGTTCTGCGACCCAGGCCACAATGCCACTACTGCTTCAACCAAACCGGACCGAACCAGTAGGAACCCACCTCTGGTCTAGACCCTCTAATTAGATGTTTAAGCAATTATTTTAATTTACAAATGAATGAAGTGTGGAAATCTATAAAAAAAATTAACTGAAGAAGAAAACTAATCAGCTAAGTTGTATCACTTTGACTTATAAACACTAAGTTTGTAACAGTTTCTTTGAATTATTCCAACTTATAGAATTGCTCACTGTAAGCCAAGTATGAACATCACTAAAGTTCCTGATCCCCCAGTGCCAAAAACGGTTACAACAAAAGTTACTTCAGTGAAACCCAAAGCAAAACAGCCAAAGACAAAGGCTGAACCACCACCAAAAAAACGCAAAACATGGAAAGAAGAATCACCCTCTACTCTTCAGCCGCAGAGTGATGAGGAAGGTAAAAGATCTGGGATTTTGTGTCATTTCCATTCTTGTATTGTCACATTTATTAGTCACATTGTATAAGGAGGCACATTTTTAATATTCTATTTTAATTTTACATGTTAATATAATATGAAGAACCCTAATTTATATATGGCATTTGTGCATTTTTTCTACATATAGAAGAAGGGGGGGGGGGGCTCCCTAGCATGTTCCCAGTGTGAGTAGCTCCAGCATCTCTAGTCATTTGTTAATCCCAGTGACTGCAAAAATACAGAGCTGCACACTCTCCAAACAGCCCAATAGCATGGAGCACCTGTATGCTTGCTGCTCTAGATGTATCAGGATGTGCCTTCTGATGTCATATTCAGTACAGAGTCTGAAGGCTATATTCATTGCAGGTCTGGGCATAGTTTTGGTCCTTTTCAATATTTAGTAAATATTTGTAGCAACATCTCTGCACAGGAAACCATTGAAAGAATCACACAAATTCCTAATTAAGACATTAAAATGTCTTCAATATAATCTAAAATATAATAAAAATGTGAGATAAAATAATTGGATTAACAAAATATATAACCAGTGGCCACGATGGTATAAAATATCAGTGTGAATATTAATGTCACAGCTCAGTCATAATTAGAGTAAGAATGAACTCCTCTGCAGAGTCACTAAAGCAATAATCAAGCCAGTGAAAAAATTACAACACGATTGAACAATATATTTATATATTTGATATTCTAGACACTGAACCACCAGCACCTATTGTTGCCCGTTTTTTGAACACCAGAGCTATGAAGGAAACATTTAGGAATTATATGGAACTGCTTGTCAGCCTTGCCTTGGATCCAGATACTATGCAGGCATTGGAGAAGAGTAATGGTACAGTTTGTTAATTCTCTTGTTTGTTTTTAATTGTTTAATAAATGTTTATTAAATGTTATCTTGTTTAGCAGAGATTCTGGGTAATGAAAGCCACACACAGAGATTAGGAAGTTGCCATAGTTGGAAAACACATCTCCAGATAATAGTGGCAGGAAGGCTAAGAAGGTCCCCACTGTTTGAGATGGGAGAAGGGCCACTACTTTCTGCTCTCCCTATCATGGTTGTCCCTTCTGCGGTACTTTCTGAACAGATTGCTTCTCTGGCAACAGATGACAATTTAAGTCCTAGCCAACAATCCGCAGTTGTTTGGAAATGGACTCACTCTGAGTTCATCATGCTCAGAAGTCTAAGTCTGCTGATAAATAAACAATGGTTGAAACATTACTTTGAAATACAAAAATGTAAAATCCAAAACAGAAGAAAAAAAGAGTATTTAAAATATTGAAAATCTCTTAGGAATGAGCAGCACTTTGAATCCAGAATCACAGCACGTCTTTGGCACCTCTTTAAAGAAGTTGCTTCTTTTCCTGGACTCAAGCAATAGCCAACAATCTCAGAAAAATTTGTGTTTTGAGTTAAAGAGATATGCCTGTGGCCATTCTGAAGGATCTTGTCGCAATCCTGTCAATCCATTTTTAACTCAAAGGTGCATTTTACTCAGTTGATGCGGCTATTCTGTAGGTCGGGGGGGGGGGGCGCACACAACGTCTTTAAGAAGGAATCTGTGTTAATATTGAACTACCATTTCAGTTCTCTGTACAAAGCCCTCTTAGTCAGCTTAATCCAACTCAATTCCTGTTAGTCTTAACACAAATTAAAGTTTTCAGGCTTATATATTTCCATTCAGTCATGAGCAGTATGCATACAAAAGTCAGGAAACTAGGGTTTTAATAGACCTATTCAGCAGGTGAGAATAGGAAAAATATGTTTTATATTAAAATTTTCTCATAAGAATAGCTAATAAAATGAAATCATTAGAACTTCTTTGTTCTGTATCAAGCTGTTTCCTAAAAATATTGTTGAGCAGTGCCATATTTGGCTTGTACTTTAGATTCATTATGGTTTCATAGACAAATGGTTATTGTTATTAAGATTTCCTTCACAGTACTTGTTTGGCTACTCCTTTAAGGCAAGGGTAGTCAATTAATTTTCCTAAGGGGTCACACGAGAAATAGGGACTGTTGTGGATGGCCAAAACAATAAGGCTGTTAAGAAGCATAGGCACACATGTGCACACACACACACACATAAATTGGAAACAAAATAGCAATCACCTTCAAAATAAAAGCAATGGGGTTGAATTGTGGGCACGGTGTGCACTTATTTACATTTGATTTCTAATTTCTGATCGCCCTCCCGTGGGCTGGGCAGGGACAGCCAAAGGCCCTGGAGGCTATAAAATGTCCAGGTCTGTTTAAAGGTTTAGGAAAGTAACTGTTAGGGATTTAGGGCAGAGTTCATTATTCATAAAGTACCTAGACAATAATCTATTAGGGAGGTTTTGCTTTCATTTTCTGTGTTAATCATTTACATTTGAGGTCCCAGGAGAATTTTGGACAAACTAGTTGGTAACTCAGCTATTTGACAAGGAAGCTGCAGCAGTCGTCAGAACCTAGCTAACCTGAAAGTATCAGGATTATGGGTTTCAGATGGGAAGCGGAAACAAAACAGCCACTTTTCATATTGTTGCTAATAAGATCTCTAGATGGTCACCAAGGAATAGGTTCAACATAACAAAGGTGACATATTTTATTGGGTTTATAGTATTTCTTGTCCTTTACTAAATTGTTCATTCTGGTTTGGTATTTTGTGAATAGGTTGATTATAGATTAATAAAACTAAATCTTCAAGTTGAATTTATCTCTGGTGACTATATTAGCATGCCAGTTCAATTTTCCTGGCCAGGGTATGCAACTGCTTTACTGTCTTATAAGTATCCATTGGAAGTCTATTTGCTTGACCTCCGACCCAGACAGCATCACACAGTATGCCATTGATGCAACATATCTTCACTGTTGCAGTAAAACCAATTTTGTAAAAAAAAATATTCACACTGTATTTTGAATTAAAATAACATTACATTTTTAAAAAAATTTAGGCTGAAATACGTGTTTGGGGCCTAACCACAGTTGTTTTCATGATTGTTTGCTAATATATTGATTAAATAAACAGCATTTATTAATTATTTTAACTTATTTGAATAATCACAGCCACGAGACATAACACATAACACATATTGTGTCTCCTTTTTTAGATGAGCTGCTTTTGCCTCATATGAGAAAAATTGATGGCATGCTGAATGACAATAGAAAAAGGCTGCTTTCCAAATTACACTTAGAGCGACCATTCAAGGTACTGATAATTATATTTCATTAATAGTTTGCCACTTTCATGAATTCTTTTATAGAAATTAAAAATTAGTGGAGCAAAGCAAATAAGCCTTTTTTAAAAAATTAGGTTCTTTATTTTTTCTATTCTTTTCTTTGTTCTATATATATTTCAGATTTCCAGCATTTTATTAGTTTATGAAAATACCAATAGCACTTAGAATTACTATTTATACCACTTCTTAGTGATTTACAGCCCTTTCTACACAGTTTACAGAGTCAGCGTATTGGCCCCAACAGTCTAGATTCCCATTTTACTGACCTTGGAAGGATGGAAGGCAGACTCAACCTTGAGTCTGTCAGGCTCGAACTACTGGCAGTTAGCAGAGTTAGCCTGCTGCATTCTAACCACTGCATTGCCATGGCTCTTAGTTATGGGAAAATAAGGAAAGAGAGAAAAGTGTAGGATAAAGGGGAAAAGAAAAAGAAAGGCATTGAGTTCCGACTCCTTTTGGTGCAGTAGAATAAGGTAGTAACATAAAATCTCAACTTTTTACTTTTATATGATAATGTGCACTAGGCATTTCTTTAACAATACAGCTATCTAATTAGCAAAACCCAAAATCAAAGTTTTATTTATTCTATATTTCTAATTTGCTATTCCTTTTGAAAAAGTCTATATTTTCAAATATATGCAACATTTTTATAGGTCACTAAGTAGAACAGAAATCTACAATTGCATTTGAAACAGTTGCTTCCAGAAATTTTTCAGGAACTGGCTAACATAATTCTTTTGCGAATATTAGTTTTTACTTTGCTTTTATGCTATATTTATAATGGACAGTGGGTTTATAAGAGAGATTAACCTTCTCTTCCAGAAATCCTGGATCTTCCCCTCTGTCCCTGCCTTTTGCTTTGGAGTAGTGGTTTGATAGTTCCTGCTGCCACCTACTATTTTCCAAGTGGCATCTCATATAACAACCATCCTGTAATATTGGTGTTTTGAGAGGTTTTACAACCAGTGCTTCCTTCATGACAATTAAAAATGCAAAAAAAAAAATGAAATTATTTCATTAGGGCAGTCTCTTGGCCACAAAACACTGAAGTGTATGAGTAACGTATTCATTTCTACTTTCCTTGTGGGGAGATACCACAAGGGAAAAACAATATCAAACTTTATTTAAACATTTAGAAAGGAAAAATTCCAGAGCTGCCTGGAATTACAAAACAGCTATTTCAAAAAAATAATTTCAAAAGAAAGACCACAAGATGGCACCGCTCTGTTTACAAATAGAGCAATTCAGCCAGTATCTCAGAAGATACACAGACATAGACACACATACACATGCAATTTGTATTGTAAATTACAAGAACAGTATGAAGACAGTACAGTTATGACTTATAGCCACAATTGAGACCAAATTTTATTTTGCTAAGCGAGACAATTGTCAAGTAAAATTTTCCCCATTTTATGACCTTTTTTGCCACAGTTGTTAAGTGAATCACTGTAGTTGTTAAGCTGGTAACACAATTGTTAAGTGAATCAGGCTTCCCCATTGACTTTGCTGTCAGAAGGTTGCAAAAGGTGATCACATGATCCTGGAACACTGCAATCATCATAAATACAAGTCAGTTGTCAAGTTTCTGAATTTTGATCATGTCACCATGGGGATGCTGCAAAGGGCATAAGTGTGAAAAACAGTCATAAGTCACTTTTTCAGTGCTGTTGTAACTTTGAACAGTCACTAAATGAACTGTTGTAAGTCGAGAAGTACCTGTATTATTTCTTCTTGCATAGCCTGCAACATTAATATAATTTCTGAGATTACACACACTTCTGAACTAATCTGAGAAAATAAAAGAATAAGATTTGATTGACAAGCACCACACAGAAAAAGAAAAGGGGAAAAACAGGTTCCTGGTTAGACTGGTATGTATGAGTAGTCCTTGACTTGCAACAGTTTGTTTAGTGACTGTTTGAAGTTACAACAGCACTGAAAAAAAATGACTTGTGACTGTTTTTCATATGACCATTGCAACATCCCCATGGTCATGTGATCAAAATTCAGGTGCTTGGCAACTGACTCATATTTATTAT